AGGCGAAAGAAGGCAAAGCGAGAAGAGGAAAGAGAAAGACAAGAGAAAGTATTTAAAAGAAGCGAGAAAATGTAACAATGAGAGAGAGAGGGAAAGAGAAAAGGTATCGAATACACACACACACACATATATATATATATATATATATATAGAGAGAGAGAGATAGATCCAGTGTTTCCGTTTATACGTCAGTATGCACTTAATAACACTATAGATCTTTCTGCATGACAGGCTTTGGCTTGAATCTAAAATTATCGATCACATCGAATAACGTGTCCAGGTTTAAATTTGTCAAGTTCTCGTTCTGCACCTGCGAATTGATTGAAATTTAGAAGAACCAAATCACGCTGGGCGTTTACGTCAGGCGTTATTACTTTGGAAGAGAAAGAGATAGACAGTGATTTTGAATTTGATAAAATTCTTTAGGAATCTCCAAAACCTTGTGGCAAGTTACAAACTCTTGTTTCAAATATCAGAAATAAAGGTCATTTTATGATTCACCTTGTGCCTCGTTTCTGTGTTAGCGGGTAGGTTACACCATGCCAATCCCTTATAAATAATTCTCTACTGAGTTTTGATCGCTAGGAAGGACGGTAAAGAGATGCCAGGGACTCGGTTTGGTGTCTGAGTAAAATAAAAAAAGAAAGAAAGAACGAAGAAACAAATAAAGAAAAAAGAATGGAACGTGATGCCAATACCTCATAAATAATAGCCTATTCGGTGTTTATCGCGGGGAAAGATGGAAAAGACATATCAGAGACGCTATTTGGTTTTAGCGAGTAAAAGAAAAAGAAAGAAAGAACGAAAGAAAGAACCAAATAAAGAAATAAAGAAACGTCCTCTCAATACTTCCAAAATAACGGACTGTTAGGTTTTGATCGCATGGAAAAACGGAAATGACATATCAGGGATGCTGTTTGGTTTCATTGAGTACAAGTAAAAAAAAAATGAAAGAACGAAAGAAAAAACGAACGAAATAAATAAAAAGAAACGCACTGCAAATAATTCATAAATAATGGACTATTCGGTTTTGATCGCGTGAAAAAAAGGAAAAAACATATCAGCGACGCTATTTAGTTTTATTGAATAAATGAAAAAGAAATGACTTAAGAAAGAATTAAATGAATAAAGAAAGAATCACCATGCTAATATTTTATAAATAAATGACTATTAGGTTTTGATCACGTGGAAAAACGGAACAGACATATCAGCAACGCTATTTAGTTTTACTGAATAAATGAAAAAGAAAGGACTTAAGAAAGAACCAAATGAATAAAGAAAGACATGTTCTGCTAATATTTTATAAATAAATGACTATTTAGTTTTGATCACGTGGAAAAACGGAAAACACATATCAGAGACGCTATTTAATTTTACAGAATAAATGAAAAAGAAAGGACTTAAGAAAGAACCAAATGAATAAAGAAAGAAACGTTCTGCTAATATTTTATAAATAAATGACTATTTTGATTTGATCACGTGGAAAAACGGAAAACACATATCAGCGACGCTATTTAATTTTACAGAATAAATGAAAAAGAAAGGACTTAAGAAAGAACCAAATGAATAAAGAAAGAAACGTTCTGCTAATATTTTATAAATAAATGACTATTTAGTTTTGATCGCGTGGAAAAACGGAAAACACATATCAGCGACGCTATTTAATTTTACAGAATAAATGAAAAAGAAAGGACTTAAGAAAGAACCAAATGAATAAAGAAAGAAACGTTCTGCTAATATTTTATAAATAAATGACTATTTAGTTTTGATCACGTGGAAAAACGGAAAAAACATATCAGCGACGCTATTTGATCTTACAGAATAAATGAAAAAGAAAGGACTTAAGAAAGAACCAAATGAATAAAGAAAGAAACGTTCTGCTAATATTTTATAAATAAATGACTATTTTGATTTGATCACGTGGAAAAACGGAAAACACATATCAGCGACGCTATTTAATTTTACAGAATAAATGAAAAAGAAAGGACTTAAGAAAGAACCAAATGAATACAGAAAGAAACGTTCTGCTAATATTTTATAAATAAATGACTATTTAGTTTTGATCACGTGGAAAAACGGAAAAAACATATCAGCGACGCTATTTAATTTTACAGAATAAATGAAAAAGAAAGGACTTAAGAAAGAACCAAATGAATAAAGAAAGAAACGTTCTGCTAATATTTTATAAATAAATGACTATTTTGATTTGATCACGTGGAAAAACGGAAAACACATATCAGCGACGCTATTTAATTTTACAGAATAAATGAAAAAGAAAGGACTTAAGAAAGAACCAAATGAATAAAGAAAGAAACGTTCTGCTAATATTTTATAAATAAATGACTATTTAGTTTTGATCACGTGGAAAAACGGAAAACACATATCAGCGACGCTATTTAATTTTACAGAATAAATGAAAAAGAAAGGACTTAAGAAAGAACCAAATGAATAAAGAAAGAGACGCCCTGCCAATACTTTATAAATATATGACTATTCTGTTTTGATCGCGTGGAAAACGGAAATGACATATCATAGACAATATATCCTTACAGAAAAAGTAAGAGTGTAAGAAAGAAACACCATTCAATCCCACATAAGTAATAGACCGTTCCGTTATGAATGCGTGGAGAGATGGAAAAGACATATCTGAAATGTTGTTTGATTTCAATGAGTAAAAACAAAAAACGAAAGAAAGAAAAAAAGATAGAAAAAAGAAAAAGACGATGACGCTCTCGTGTGTTTAACGCCCGCTTTATTGAAATGGAAAAAAAAAACTTGAAATATTTACTCCTTTAAATAATGACCTGCATGCATATTCATGATAGTTATTGAAATATTTGTCTAAAGTTGTTTAGCTCAAATATTTAACGACGCACTCAAGGAATTAATATTTTCCTTTTATTTGAACTGCTATGTAATATCAATCCTCCCATATATTTTTGGCAAAAATGTTCAAATTAAATTCGTCTTTTTTAAATCAGTATTACTCCCATTCAAGTCAGTAAAGCCACTAAGACATAAGTGGTTACAGGGTGTGAAATATTTAGGAACAGAAACATTAATAATGAGCGGGAAGAAGAAAGTCTAATCTGGAGCCCAGTAGATAGCGATTGACATTGCATTTAAATTTTTGAAGATTATAGTTGGCTAGAATATATGGAACCGGAATGGAGTTCCACAAGCGAGAAGTGCGAGAAAAGAAACTGTTGCTATAGCATTTCTGGTTACATCTAGCTAGCTCACTTGTAAATTAATAAGTCAGTCTTGTACTGCACTTAAATTCACAGAGTCATAAATTCTAGGTACCATTGCGAAGAGCTCATTCGAACAATTACCATGAAAGTATTTATAGAAAAGACACAGCGAGGCAACCTTACGGCGGTGGGAAAATGACTGAAGTCGAGCTGCCAGATCAGGACCAATAATATTGCTGATTCTTCTGTGGATTTTATCAAGGAGCCCTAGTTAAATAGCATGGGCACTGGACCGTATGTGACAGAAATATTCTAAGCAAAGACTTATAGATATGCACGATAAATTTTGGAGATAAAATTTGTCTCGCAAAACACAGTGAACTAACTTTCTCTGCAGCTGACCTAGCCATGGATTCAATATGATGGAAGGGTGAGAGGGCTCTCTCAAATAATTAATGGAGAGAATTTTAGTTTTCGAGTCGTTAAAATTAACAAGCCATCTTTTGCCCCAGTTAACAACGCACCTGAGGTCGTCTTGGACATCGGCTCCCATTTTGACCTTGTCGGATAAATCACCGAACTATATATGACAGCAATATCCTAAGCATGGACGAATGGTAGACTTATAGATATGTAAGATAGAGTCTGTAGAGAAAAATTGTCTCGCCCGACATAGTGAACCAGCAGCTGACCTAGCAATGGATTCAATATCGACTTTCCACTTCATATCAACAGAGGACATAAACCCGAGAAGATGCAATGAGTCACTTTCCTGGATGATAGCATCAGCCATACTGATGGAAGGCAGAGAAGGTTATCTCAGATGATTAATGGAGAGAAGTTTAGTTTTGAAGGTATTAAAATTAACAAGCCATCTTCCTTCCTCCCAAATTGTTTTGGACATCGGCTGCCATTTTGACCTTGTCAGACTGATAAGCATTACTACTGAGGCAGGAGTAAATTGTTGTGTCATCAGCATAGATAAGCAAGTTGAGAGTTGATCTTACCAGGAAAGTCATTAATGAAAATTAAAAATAGAGTAGGACCAGAAATGGAACCCTAGGGACATCCGCGTTAGTATGAAAGGATCTAGATGAGTGGCCATTTAGGATAACTCTCATTTCACGATTTGATAAGAAAGACTGGATCAGTTCAAACAAAGTGTCCAGAAAAACTGTCTCATCCAACATGACTTTCTTAACAGCTGACTTAGCAATAGATTCAATATCATCTTTCCACTTCATATCAGCAGAGGACATAAACCCGAGAAGATGCAATGAGTCACTTTCCTGGATGATAGCATCAGCCATACTGATGGAAGGCAGAGAGGGGTCTCTCAGATGATTAATGGAGAGAAGTTTAGTTTTAGAGGTGTTAAAATTAACAAGCCATCTTTTGCCCCCTTCTCTTGAGGTCGTTTTTGACATCGGCCGCCATTTTGACCTTGTCTGACTGATTAGCCATACAATCTAGGTAGGGGTAAATGGTTATGGTATCATTAGCGTATCCATATTTTCATTTTTTTAACGAGTTTTGGGATTTGCATAACTTCAGACGGGCTGGAGACTGAGAAGTCGCTTAGTAATATTAGTAAGTCGATATTAATTCGACTGTTCAGAAAATTAATAAAAAAACATAAAGGGATAAAAAATCAAATACTTTTACCCAATAAAATTCATATGTTACGAAATACTAGTCTATAGAAATTAATTCTTTGAATGACGTCAGCAATTAAACCAGAAGCTTTCATTCAGACGAAGAAGGCGACAAAGACTGGGATACTGTGAAACTGATGTGCAAAAAAGCTCAAATATTAAAATAAAATAATTTCTCTGAAAGTGATAGATCGAGTGATAGAAACAAAGAGGGAAGGCGACAAACTGAAAGAAAGCAATAGAGAAGTAAATGGGGGCGGAGAGAGAGAGAGAGATAGATAGAGAGAGAGAGACAGAGGAAAAAGTAAAAGAGAAAGAGAAAGAGCGCGATCAAAGTAGGGAAAATGGAGAGGAATATGTGAAAAACAGAGAGAGAAAATCTCGGAAACATATAGATAGAATGAGAGAAAAAAAACACAGAGAGATAAACGAAACATAGAGATAGACATGATAAATGAAAACAGTGAGTGAATGAGTGTGTGTGTGTGAGAGAGAGAGAGAGAGAAAGAGAGAGATACAGAAAAATAGAAATAAGGAGAAACAATATATAAATAGACAGAGAAAGATATATATATATATATATAAAGAGAGAGGTAAATATGCAGAAAAGAGTGATAGACAAAAAGAGCGAAAACAAAACAGAAGCAGAGAGAGAGAGAGAAAAGAAAGACTGAGAGTAAGAGTTAGCGTAATAAATGGAAATAGAAAAAGAGACATACATATATGCAGAGAGAAAAGAGAAACAGAAAGAAATAGAGTAAGTGTGAGAGAGAAAGAATGAAAGTCAAATAGAAAAACATAGTGAGAAAGAGGGTGAGATAAACATAAAGGAAGAGGAACTGAGAGAGGGCGAGAGATAGTGGAAGAGAAGGAAACAAAGGAACAGATAGACAGATGGGGAGAGAGAAAGAGAGATTGAAATAAAAAAGGGTGGATAAGAGAGAGAGAGAGAGAGAGAGAGAGAGAGAGAGAAAGAGAGAGAGAGAAACAGACAGAAAGAAAAATCTATCGAGAGAGAGGGTGATATAGACATAGAGAGACAGAATCTAAGAGAGATAGTGTGTGGAAAAGAAGCAAACACAAAAACTGACAGGCAGATGTGCAAAGAGAAAGAGAAAGAGAAAGAAAGAGAGAGAGAGAGAGAGAGAGAGAGAGAGAGAAAGAAAGAGAAAATTGACGGAACGACTAACGTCCTGATGCAGAGTGATATATACATAAAGACAAAAGACCTAAGAGAGAAAGAGAGAGACAGATAGAGCAATAGATGTTTGAACTGTGTTACCCATAATAATAATAATGGACTATTCCATACTTAATAAATACGGCGTTTATACGGGTTCAATGGCCATATTTTTGGCCGAGCCTACGGGCTCGGAGATCCCACGTTAAACCGGCCTTGTGCCACATGATACCCTCGTGGTGGGGGGACTGAATATCATCAGTCGTTCAAGTCTCGACCGGCTGATCGGTTGAACTCTCTGCCTTCGGGCGGGGAGGAACCCGAACGAGGCTACGCCGAAGGGCGGAGTCTCTTTCGGGGAGGTAAACCGACCTTGAACCCGTTTATACGGGTTCAATGGGCATATTTTTGGCCGAGCCCACGAGCTCGGAGATCCCACGGGCTCGGAGATCCCACCGGCTCGGAGATCCCACGTTAAACATGACGCCCTCGTGGGGGGTGGGGGGTAACTGAATATCGTCAGTAGTTCAAGACGAGTCAAGAGTCAAGTCAGTGGCAATCCGAAACAGGGTCGCGTTCAGACAATTACTGCAAGGCATTGGAATAGTGATACTGGTTGAGACTACATTGTTCTCTCTACTAAACCTGATTGGTCGTACTAACACTTTCTACTTCTCTGTATATATTCCTGTTTGTAATATATCTGTGTTATTCCATACCTGTGTTCGAGTTTCTTCTTTATTGGTTCTACCTTGGAATATCATCGTGGTACAAGGAACCGGTCCATGACAAACAGACAGAAAGAACATATATTCAAAACTAGCTTAAAAACCGCCCTGTCGGGCAGCATTTAAGTTAACTCCTGCGGAGGGTTCTTGATTAGGCCTTCATCATGATTACGTAGGGATGAGTACTTGTGATAGGCAATAATAAACTACAGAAGAACTTAAAATTGATCACTGCATTTAAGTATTAATATTTAAGCGTACCTTCTTAAAAGTTCAACGATAATTCTTGTGTCGCCACTTAATTTAAAGACAACTTGATGTACGTAGGTCCTTACGTTCCGTACAAACTATTATTTTAATTTCATGAGTGGCTTTCGCTGGATTTCGCAATTAATTTTGATTACTGCCAAGTTTATTTCCAATTTATAAAAATTGTTGTACAAAAATTCGTCGCAAAAAGTCACTTAAAAACCGCCGAAAACAATCGCAGTAATGAAAACTAGGAAATTCAAAATTTCATGATATGTTGGGGTACGGCCTCTAGGAGTAAGGCTGAAAAAGTGTGACACACAGGCATTCGCATTTATTATATAGATGACTGATATGGAGATGGAGAAACTCCGTGTGTGTGTTTATTTATGATAGATAGATAGATAGATAGATAGATAGATAGATAGATAGATAGATAGATAGGCAGAGACAGAGGCCAACACAGAGAGAGAGAGAGAGAGAGAGAGAGAGAGAGAGACAGAAAATAGAGAAACTGAGAAAGGAAGAATGCCAAAGAGAGAGTGCGAGAGAGTGAGAGAGGACCAGAGGGAAAGAGAGAAGCTGAGATTACTTTGAATATACGCTCTAAAGAGCGTATATTCAAAGTAATAGACAGATAGACAGATATATAAACATGAACAGATATACATATAAACAGAGATAGATAGATAGATAGATAGATAGATATGACAGGCTGAGTTAGATGGATATGAACAGATTGAAATAGATAGATAGATAGATAGATAGATAGATAGATAGATAGATATGAACAGACTGAGATAGATAGATAGATAGATAGATAGATAGATAGATAGATAGATAGATAGATATGAACAGACTGAGATAGATAGATAGATATGAGCAGACTGAGATAGATAGATAGATAGATAGATAGATAGATATGAACAGACTGAGATAGATAGATAGATAGATAGATAGATAGATAGATATGAGCTGACTGAGACAGATAGATAGATAGATAGATATGAACCGACTGAAATAGAAAGAAAGAAAGAAAGAAAGAAAGAAAGAAAGAAAATGACATAGTGAGACCTATACAGGTAAAGAGAAATAAATAGCTAATATAGGTATATTAAAATGTTATTTATCAACAAACTGCTGCTTAAGAAAAGAAACCAATATTAAATGCCAACATTCCCACACCAAAGAAATCTTTAACGAATCATTTTCCTGGACGATTTTAATATGTTTCTCCTTTAAAATTAATCTCCGCAAAACGAAATGTGTGTGGCGGAAATAGTAATCATATGAACATAATTTTGAGCGTGGAGATAAAAAAAAAATCAGCATTTTAAAACCTTAAAAACATAAAATTGCTTATTTCTACGTATACCACTCCATCTGTTATTTGATCTGATATCCTCATTGCATAATATCATTTTTGTTTTCTGTTCTTTTCATCACTGATGCATTCGCCGACGTCTCTACAAAACTGTTGGAATTATTTTTCCACGTTCGGTAACCAGAAATGTGTCGCCAATTAACGAGGAAGTCGTACCAGCTTTGTTTACATTTATAATTAATTATAGCCAATCTTGGCAAAGCTGACTCAAGTAGAAATTTTTTCTCACATCTATTGAAGGCAACGGGATGTGTGTGGTGGTGTAATGGAGAATGGCACTGAGAGAAATCGAAGAAACGAGTTCGAATTCCGGTCGGGTCTGTTACATTCATATTCATGAGAAAGTTATAAAATCCACCTCTTCCCCACGCACCTCTTCTCCCCCGCCGTATCCTAAACAGGGAATAAAAGATAATCATTTACTCATGTTGAAAAGTCTAGGGAGGAGCGTGAGCTGGGTGATTGTTATAGTGGAACACACCTATTCTATAGTTAATAGACTCTCCCACCTATAATAAGTAAGAGAAGTAGGTGTCGCTCAGTGGGTCGCTCAGTCGATACCGGACGACCGTTAGTCGGATACTAAAGTATCAGCGACCACAACTAGATTTCTCTGCATCATTACCTATTATATCAAGTTCCTAACGTTTTGTACGTCGAACCTATTTTAGGACCGACTCACTACAAATACAAGCCTCCACTGTGAAACCCACTCCATAACAACTTGGCGACGAGGTATTCGAATTCATACGGTGGAAGAAAAAACAAAATTCACACTCCATAACAGCGATAAACGAATCTATTTACTACTTCTAAAGAAAAAGAAACAGAATTTAGACGGAGACGTTAGAAGTATATAGTCCACTTCAACTCTATACTTCTAACGTCTCCGCTTAAACTCTGAAATTTTATTTGCTATTTATTTTTCCTCGGTAGAAGTAAATAAGTTCACCTATCGTCCGGTTTTCACTCCTCTCCGAGCTTTTGAACAGGAATAGACGTTAATCCTTTGTTTTCAGCTAAGGGTTGGATTTCCCGTTGAAATGGACCCTAGAAAGAATAGGAAACCCAATACTAAAATGAAAACAGTGGATAAGGAGGCACAGTGGAGTGTAGGAGGCACGGTGGAGTAATGGATAGCGGCTTGGATTGAGGAATCAGAGAGCCGAGTTCGAATTCCAGTCGAATCCATTATATTCACTTACGTGCTAACACCCTTGGGAGAGGTGTGAATCCTCTTTCTTCTCCCTCCATCTATGGGTAAATAGCAGGACAGACTGCGTTCTATAGCCTTGGATGGCAACTGGTCTAGGAGAAGGAAAACTCTGAATTCAAACCTGCTCTTAGAGGAGGGTGAATGGAGTCTCTCTAAGCCTTGGTTGGCAATCCATTTAGTGATGGTGTCACGATAAAAAACACCCTTGATAGCCCTAGCGAAGCATCAAGAATTTAGCTATTTGACAAGATTATGAACTACACCAATCAAAGTATTGGTGAGTTCAATCTCGGTTTAGGCCGCAAGATGATGACTTCTTTTCAAAAGATTTTTTTTATATAAATATGAAACAAGTTGGAAAAAATTTGGGACTATTTTTAAAAAAAAATCATTTCACTCCAGGTAAGGCAATAAAGTCACTATGACGCAAGTGGTTACCAACTGTTAGAGAATATGAGAAAAAAAAACATTATTAAGGGGAAAAAACAATAAAAGAACAATATTTAAGAAGACAGAAGATGACAATTGACATCCCAGTTAAATTTTTAAAGATAAAATTTTTACTGGGATGCCAGAAGAGAGTTCCAAGAGCGAGAAGGGCGAGAGAAGAAACTGTTAGCATAGAACTTTCGGTTATATCCAGCCATTTCATCTGTCAAATGATAAGAACTTGGCGCCAATCTAGTACTGCGCTTAAATTCAATAAGTCTACGTACCATAGCGGAAAGTCCATCAGAAAAATTACTATGTACCAAATATTTATAGAAAAGGTACTGGAGAGTTACGTTTTGGCGGAGGAGAAAGAGGCTGAAGCCGAGGTGAACTAATAATATTTTGTCACTTTTTAATAATTATGGTAAGAAGCCGTCATTTTTTTTAATCATTTCACCCCAAGCAATGCGGGAACGCCACTAGTATGCAAGGGTTTACAAGGAATGTAATTGAAAGCGTTTATAATTCTAAATATTTTGAGATCACTCAGCATATTCATTGAGTTATCTTCTATAGTTCTGGAACAATTCCTTGCGATTCCAAGTGGTTCTGAAAGCTTTCAACTCATCTTCTCAAAGAATATCGAAGGTAACAACCTTCGATATTCTTTGAGAAGAGCGCTTATAATTTCAAGACTTGTTCGATCTCATTCTTTGTGTTAATCCTTCCTTGACGCAGTATTTCGGCCGATCTATTTTTGGACTTTTTCATATTTCTTTCTCTTTACAGAAATCTTTGTCGAAGAAAAAAAAAGCACTGGTTACGTATACTTCAATAAGCGATATTATCAAAAACAACAATAAAGGAAGCTTGTAGCGTAAGGATAATGATACTGCTGCCCATGTTGTGGGGGGTTATTATAATATCTCAGTTGCGTCTTTATCTTCGAGCAGTGTACGACTTGTGGGCCTGTCCTCGGACTGAGAAGCTGGAGAAAATAAAACAGTGTAAGATGCCCAGTCCCGGGAAACAGTTGCCCGAGGCTGCACCCGACATTTCACTAAAAAGGGGGATCAATAGTAGCTAGTGAGTCCAGCGCTACCGACGGTTGCCGGGGTTGGGCAGTTTTTTTTTTTATCCTTGAACCGAGTGTACGCGATCGGGTTCCCCACGTTAAGCCAGACTTTGTGCCTCAGTGGTGAGATCGGGGTATATAATATGACTCCTCGCAGAATGAAAAACACTCCTTTTGCTATGTCTATCTTTACAAGCAGTACTGCTGCCATATCTGGGCAGGAATTTCCAAGTGCTCACTTTTTCGGAATTGATTGCGTTCAAAGGCGTCTACATGGCTGTGCAGAGACGAAATGTTTTCCACTGTGGAACCACTTTTCCACGGAGGAAACATCGCAACACCATCGCTATTTTAGCCTTATTTCCTCCAGAAAGCTTCGAGCGAGCTAAGTTACTTAATTGCACCAGTTCAGACCTTCACATCTAAGATGCCTTTTAAAGTCGAACATTAAGATCTGACCATCGCTTTACCGGTGGTAGAGAAAAATAACGTAAGTCCCAGCCACCGGTTGAACAGTGGTTTTTATATATCTACCGTGAAATATTACATACCAATTATTTGCGAATTTTGATTCAGGAGATCAGACGGAAGGGTTAAAATTGTTTAGAAACACCGGCTTCAAAGGGTTAAAAGACAGAGAAGATAGTGGCCTGCTTTAGGATCTTAAATAGCTGTCTATTCTTCAATGCTGCCTGAAGTTAGGGTTCGAACCGCATCGCTACTTTAGCCTTATTTCTTCCAGAAAGGTTCGAACGAGCTACGTTGCTTAGTTGCACCAGTTCAGACCTTCCCATCTAAGATGCATTCTACAGTCGAACAGATCATCCACATTCCATTTATAGTCCATTAATCCTTTGACCCCTGACCACCGCTTTACCGGTGGTAGAGAAAAATAACGCGTTTACCAGCCACCGGTTGAACAGTGGTAGAGAAAAAATGACTTAATGCCCAGCTACCGGTTGAACGGTGGGTAAACACTTGTAGCTATTTTTATAACTACCGTGAAATATTACAGACCAATTATTTGCGAATTTTGACTCTGGAGCTCAGGCAGAAGGGTTGAAATTTTTCAGGAAAGCACTGCTCAAAAGGTTAAAATCTTTTTAAAAAATCGGTAAGGACTTGGAAAAATATATTTTCTCTCATTATTTTATTATATCAAATCCCAACTTTCAAACTGAGTGCAATATCACAGCTCCATAATCAATCTGCCCTATCGTACAATATCTAGCCTACAACTAATAAACCGCTATATTGAAATAGTCTCTTGAAATAAGCATTTATTTTAAAGACATTACATTGTATATTTAAGTACGTTTGTATGAAACACATGACTAATGTACTTTGGCAATTTTCTGAATGATAGGCCTTATATGTTACGCTTTGCGGAGAGCAAAGATAAAAGGTTTATTCTCTCCTTTTCAAAGATTAAGAAGTGTAATACCCAGCTTAAAATATCAGATGTTAAGGACTTAACACTTTGAGCTCCGACCACCGCTTTACCGGTGTTAGAGAAAAATAACGTAATTTTTTTTTGCTATTGGTTGTCTTTTTTTGAAGAGCCAATCAGAAAAACCGTAATATTCTGATGTCATCGAACGTTATACCAACCTGTCTGTGCCTTTTCCATTGTGTTATGTGCATTGAGTAAGTAAGATCGTTTTTACCATGAAGAATTCTGGCGGTAAAGTGAAGGCATGCAATCATACTCTCTCTCCGTGCTAAGTATAGTGCTTATATTTTTTTGTAACTGCATTTATATCTACCGTGAAACATTACATGCCAAATTATATGTGATTTTTTTACAGAGGCTCAGGCAGAAGGGTTAAAATTGTTCAGGCACTCTGGACACAAAGAGTTAAGAAGTAAGTTCAATCTAGCCAGCTTCTTCACTAGTGAATGCCTCTATACTTCTTCCAGTGTGAGAAATATTTTGTCGTGAACTTCAGAGATTTGAAG